AAAACTCGGATTTATTGGGCTATTTTTCTAAATGATCAATGTCATATAAAAAGTCATTCCAAATTTTCTGGAGCAATAACCATTCCATTTGATTTAGTATCATCTCCAAATGTGATAAATGTGTCCTTAATTCCTTCCCCCATGTTTGGCTGCCTTTTTTCAGCTTTTCTCCCTCCCTTCTCTTTCAAAATAAGGAAACAGCCCTTGTTTTCTAAGAAGTACCCTTCAAAGAAGCAAAACAAGCTGCAACCTTATATTTTCATCTCATGCATGTGCACAAGCCCCAGGGGTCCCAGACAGAACCTGGATGGGACTCCAGGTTTCCATGAGGTCACGTGGCCTTAGGGGTCCCAAGAAAGAACACAGATGGGGCTCCTAGTTCCCATGAGGTCAGGTGGGTCCAGGGGGCCCAGGACAGAACACAGATGGGGCTCCTGGTTTCCATGACGTCACGTGGCCCTAGGGGTCCCAGGACCTGGATGGGGCTCCTGGTTCCCATGAGGTCAGGTGGCAGCATGCTCCAAATTGCTCATTTCCTGCCTGGGTATTCCAGACAAGCATTTAAACTTTCTGTCAAGTTTAGGGTGACCATGCTTACACGGTAGAGTTATTGTGAAAATGGAATCAGATAATGTATGTAAATACATTGGGAACAGAGTAGCTATTTGATAAATGTCAGTTCTTTATGCCAACGTGCCCCTCCCGCAACCAAGTTCCTCCTAAAAAGTAGCCTCTCTTGTAGGATCGTGGCCTCTTCACTTGATGGTAATTCATCTTGCCTTTCAAATCAATTACAGACAGAGCACTTTACAAGATGCAAAATGCTTTTCTCTCCATTATCTCATTTGAGTCTCATAACCACGGGGCATGTCTCCCCGGAGATGAGGGACGAAGGCTGAGATGAGGTGCCTTGCGAAGTTGCACGCAGCAGTTAAGGAGGCGCTTCCTCTGTGAGCTGGGAAGCTGGGACGGTTCTCTCTCACTTGCAGAGGAAGGAGTTTATAAACACACAAGCTCTGATATTTCCTGGGGGTCATTAGGGCAGCCGAAGCTAAAATCTAATCAGGAATTTTTCCAGACCCGCCCAGCTCTGCCCAACCAGTTGTAAGTGTAAGGTCATTGGAACAAGAAATGGGACTTGGAAGAAAGATGAAGACCAGGGACTGGGAACTGCCAGATTATGAGGGGACAGATGAACATTTTCTGGAAGCCATCATGCATGACAAGTGAAACACTTTTAAGTTAGTTAACAGGTCACTTCTCAATTCGGAGAAGAAGTGTGGTGCCGAGGAAGGCGGTGGGCTTTGGAGTTACACCCACATGGTGCAAATAGCAGCTCTGTAACTTTGGGTTCTTAGGCCTTGAGCTCCTCTGTAAAATGTGGACAGGACCACTGAGTCCTGGGTCTTCCACCTGCTGAGAGACCCTGGCCAGTTTACACAGTCTCTGCACTCAACTTTCCTCCTCTGTAAAATGGGACAACAACAGTGACCCCCTCAGAGTTACAGTGAGGACTGAATGAAAGGTGGGCAGAAAAGAACTAAAAAGAAGAGCTGGTGCATAGAAAGAACTAAGAAAGATGAGCGATGGGGTAGCGTGGCCATGTGGCTCCCTCTGCTGCGTGCTAGCGTGTGACCTTGAGCTAGCGACATCCTCGTGTCTCAAGCTCCTCGTCTTAAAATGGGAATAATAGTAATAATATGTGCCTTGTGCGTTGGGAAATAGGATTAAGTGAGAAATTATATGTAAAGTGTTTGGAAGAGCAGCTGGCACTTAACAAGTGCTCTATAGATGCTCACTGTTGCCAGCTTAGATGGTTTTTCCTTTCTCTTTCTCCTGTCTGTAGGATTCCGGCTCCTGTCTGGGTGAAGGGAGTCTGCACTGAAGGCTGAGGGAGAGACTGAGCGGGGCTGGAGAGGCCTCTGTGTGCCTGGAACTCCGGCCTGCCTCCTCTCCACGGCTCCTCAGCGTGGCCCAGGGGCCTGTGGGGCCCCGTTTCGGAGCTGGCTTTGCGGCCAGGCAGCCCTAATCTGTCCCTTGAGCCACACCAGAGTCTCATTAAAACGTGCCCCATAAATGTTAAAAAATTTACACATAAAAAAATTCCATGCATGAAACTGAAACCATAGGTTTTACAGCCTCGGTTTGAAATCTTGCATAATATATAAAACCTTGGCCCTGCACTGGGGGCCCGTAAATCAGATTTTATAAAACAAAAAGCTTCTACTTTTCAAAGGGGTTTGGGGAACTTGCAAATTTTACAAACTTTACCAACTGCCAGTCAGAGGGGGTTGGACCCGAACGGGGGACCGAGGGAGCAGGTAAGAGACAGGCCTGGTGAGCACAGGGCGGGAGTGGGGATTGGTATGGAGAGTGGCTATGGCACTAACTGGGGGCATCCCAGCCTAGCCACCAGCGTCGGAAAGGGGAGGTAGAGAGGGTCAGAGTGTGGGAATTGGGGGAGACCTGGTAGGGGTCCTCTTTTTTAAAAATATATTTTTATTGATTTCAGAGAGAGGAAGAGATGAAAACCTCAATGATGAAAGAGAATCATTGATTAACTGCCTCCTGCACGCCCCCTACTGGGGATCAAGCCTGCAACCTGGCATGTGCCCTGACAGGGAATCGAACCCTGACTTCCTGGTTCATTATGTCGAAGCTCAATTGCTGAGCCACAGCAGCTAGGAAGTAGGACTCTATTGTCCCAAGGAGAAGGGAGGGGTGATGCAGTGGAGGGAGAGCATATGAGGAGCCATAGGCTGGTCCTAAAGTAATTTCCCTTCTCTGGACTGTGCTGTCTCATCTGTACATGGACTTCTCTCCACAGCTGTGTCTCCTCGTGTGCAGTGGGAGCAGCTGGCTCCCAGGAAGGGCAGTGCCCTCAGAAACTGCAGTCTGGGGACCTCTCTGGTCTTTGGGCAGCTCCAGGGGAGCTCAGTCAGTGTTCCCATGGGAACTTGTCCAGGACACTTTCTGGGAGGAGGGGAAGGTACTGCATGCAAATTGGTGTTGTTGTTTTTTTTGGGGGGGGGCGCGCGCAGCTAGAGGTGGGAGGAGCCATGCCCAGTGGTGGGCTTGGTGGGGCCAGGGGACATGGAGAGGGATCAGAGCTCGAGATCCCAGGGTGGAACAAAGTTTTGGGGACCTCCGTGTCCTCCTGACAATTTCATCTGTGAAAGTCAATATTCAAGGGCAGAAGAAAGCCGCCCTGACACGCACATATATATAAAATAAATCTCTCAATTATCTCAGCTCATTTGCTCGGGGTCTCTCATTTTATGTCCCTGCTCTGCTGCGCAGTATATCTGTCCGGATAAAGAGTTACAGTCCGTTGGGCTACGTGTGCGGGGTTGTAAAAAATACAGATGCCAGATTAACTGGCTGTGGCACTCGGCAGCTGATTGAGCTGATAATGACGCGATCTGACCTTTTTCTAATTTCTAATTATGTGCATCTTGGCTGCGCTGGCTACATGATTCCTGTTCTAATGACGGCTCCTGTGGTTGGCCACTTCCTCCCGCTCCCTACTGCAAGAGGGCGGCGAAGGGCACTGCTTGGCTCCCCAAGTAAAGTTTTGGGGAGGCGGGGCTGGGAGGCTAGAACGCCTTGGCGTAAGGATACTGCACTTGAGACGAACCTTCTGGATGATATGCGTTCTTAAAGGCCATTTAGTTCCACAAGCCATCTCACTCGTTTTTTTTTTTTTACAGTCACTGGAGATGGGTGTATTGGATCTTCAGGCAAGGAAACCGAGCTTCGAAGCAGTGAAGTCAGCAAAGTCGCACCGATGGTGAACAGGGAAGCCGCCCCGGGCTTTCATCTCTAGGTGCTCCTCCAACTGTCCCCATGGGAACAACTGACCCATCACTGGGGGACACTTTGTAAAGTAGATGGTTGTCTAGCCACTATGCGGTATACCCGATAATAATACAAAATAATACTGAGTGTGAACTGTACTTAAAAATTTTTTTTTAAACATGTTTTTTTTTAATTGATTTCAGAGAGGAAGGGAAAGTGATAGAGAGATAGAAACATCAACGATGAGAGAGAATCACCGATTGGCCACCTCCTGCATGCTCCCCAATGCGGGGGATTAAAAAATTTTAAATCACAGAAAAAATAAAGTAATTGATTGACCAATCTCCCAGCCAGGACTGTGGCTCCTCATCTGGGTAAACCAGGCCATGTGAGGGGTGGGATGTCCAAGGACGAGTCCACCAACCAGACCACTCCCAGTCCGGTGACCTGAGGCCTGGGGCCGCCGGAGGGCTGGGGCTGCCGGGGCAGCTTCTACAATACCCACTGCCCCTGGGCAGGCTTGGCACACGGCAGGCCCTTAACCAAGGTGTGTTGGACTGAATCAGAACTCTGAATACGTGAGCGAGCAGACCTGGAGACCCAGGGAGTGTTGGCAAGGGGAGCACGGAGGCAGACACTTGCTGGCATGTCCAGGCTGCACAGAGCAGCAGGCTGCAGTGATGACCTGGGTAACACTCTGGGTTTGAAAGGCTGATCTCCTGCGTCCCCCTAAATGGGCAGGACATCCACTGGCCGCCTTCTCAATAGGACTGTGTCTCCAGGTCTCTCTCTCTGCTGATGTGCTTGAACGTGCCTGTCCCCACACCCTCCACACTGCAGCACACTGACCTGGCGAATTACTAACGTGCCAGGACTCCAGCCCTCAGAACCACTGCCCCAGACATTCTGGGTGCCACGCCCCTCTTCTCCTCCTGTCTGCATGGCAAGAGGCTGGAGGGGATGCATGTGTGCAGCAGGCAGAGACCAGAGAAGGGGAGAGCTTAGGAAGCCAGACCTGTGCCTGCAGCTATTGGTTTAGGGACCTTAGAAATGGTTCTCAGTGGCTAGAGGACCATCTAGTGCCTGGCCCACAGTGGCACACAACACCTTTTCCTGAATGAATGAAAGGATCATTTCTAGGGCACTTGGAGGGACCACAGGGGATGGAGAAGCTAGCCGGGGTGGGGAGGGTGGGTCTTTACCAGATTGTCCAGTTCTGGGTCATCGCTGAAGAAGGGTTTGTGCTCCTGCTCCTGCTGGTGGACAAAGTTCTCGATGTCCACGTCAAAGCTGGCGGAGGTGATGCACTCCGAGCCCTGGGTGGCCTGTTCACATTTCTCAAACAGCAGCGTCAGAAGCGGGAAAAGAGGGTGCCTGTGGGGACAGCAAGAGCTCACACATGCGCACAGAAACCTGCGGCCGGCTGGGCTCAGAAGCCATGAGGGCCCCTTCCCCATGCTCCCCGCACTTCTTCTCCCAAGGCCCCACTCCTGAGATCGTCCCCAGTCCCCACGGTCAGCCCAGATGGCAGCAGTTCACGCCCTGCTGGGAAGACCCAGTCTCCCATCCCTGGGCGTAGAGGGCGATACCCTCCCCACCGGCGCCTGCCTTTTCTCTTTGGTAAGATAACCTGCCTGGGTATCGGATGAGGGTGAGGGGTGTAACCCTTCAGAGAAGTAGGTGTCCCTTTCTGCTTTAAGGTCAACCCAGGAAGGAAGTGTGGGTAGTATCCAGACAAGTCTCGACCATGAACATTAGCGGTTGGTCAGACACCCATTCTCGGCTGTCTGGAGCCAGCTGAGGGCAGTGCCTGTGTGTCTGCGAGTGTTTACAGGGGATGAGCGTGAGCCTGAATTCTGGTTGCACATGGCGGGCAGGTGTCTCCACTGTTCTGCATCTGTTCGCTGACTCAGTTCAGGCCAGACACCCAATCACAAGAATATCACCTCCCTGCACTTTCCCATCACCCCACACCTAGCACATCCGTACCCACCTGATTATCTGCATCGTATTTGCTCACTGTTGTCCTCCAGGACCGTCCCTGTCTTAATGAGCCTTGTATCCTTAGGGCCTTGCCCTGCATGCTCATAGCAGGCACTTAATGCTCAGTGAGGACCATGAATTAGGGAATGAGGAGCATGTGAGTGAGCGGGTGGTATGTGTGTGATGTATTGTAAGCTGAAGGGCTTACCTCTCTGGCTCTGTGGGTCTTGGTGGAGATGCCACCCTCTCTGGGAAGCTCCTCTGACTGCCCCTCCCTCACACTACGCCGATGGCTGCCTGAGCTCTTTGCTTTATCACCTGCCTTCCTGACTAGAATATGAGCTGCATGAGGGCAGGACGCAAGCCCACCTTATTCACCACAGTCGGTTCGGAGTCTAGCAGAGGCTTGTGGATCCCAACAAATATTTGCTGAATGCATATATGTTATGCGTGCACACCTGTGTGCACACGTAAGTGCATATCACTCTTATTGCTCTGCAACATGTGTGAATGACTATGTCTTAATTCCCAGTATGTGTGCATATGTTTGCACGGGTTGTTGACACTGGACCTAGAGCCCCCTTCCTTCCCATGGTGGTCCCCGAAAAGCATCTACACCCTCCTCTGGTCTCTTTCTCAGTCCCCTGGGACCACACAATCTAGCTCTTTCTTTTTGATTAAGCTCTGCCTGTTGGGAGAGGAGGAAGCATGTGTCAGGCCTCGCCCTGGGCCTCTGCGAGAGGCCATGCTCTGGCCAGCACTTTCCAGTAACATTCCTGCCACAAGGACATGTTCTACATGGTCTGCCCTCCAACACAGAGCCACTAACTAGTCGAAGTCAAGGGACATTTAAAATATGACTGTTGCCCTGGCTGGGTGGCTCAGTTGGTTGGAGCGTTGTCCTGTACACCGAAAGGGTGCAGGTTCAATTCCCGGTCAGGGCACATATCTAGGTTGTGGGTTCGATCATGGTTGGGGCGCATATGGGAGGCAGCAGATCAATGTTTCTATCTCACATCAATGTTTCTCTCTCTCTCAAAATCAATAAACACATTTCCTTGGGTGGGGATTAAAAATGATGACTTGTGCCTAGGACACTGAGTTTTTTTACTTTATTTAATTTTAACTGATGTTAATTTAAACAGCCTCATGTCGCTGGTGGCTGCCACACTGAAAAGCACACGACTTGAAAATATACCGGACGGTGCTCCCACTGGCACACTGTGATCAAACACAAAGCAAAGAGGACTGACACCCAGACACACAGTGCTGGCCGGTGGGGGGACCCTTCCAGCCTGTCCACTCTGGGGTTCTCATAACTCTAGGTGCTTAGCCCCCCCCCCATATATGCTGGCTGTTCTCCCCGGGCTCAGGGGCAGCAGGGGGAGGAGTCAGGGCCCACTTCAGGTGGGCTGCTTGGCTCGCAGGGCCCGCCCTGGACACTGCCTCCCCACCTTGTTTTCAGAGCTGATGCATAAACAGCTGGCCTGCAGGCTGGATTTTTGTCTGCAGGGAAAAAAGGGTCAATATCTGAATGTGGCCCATCTGTGGCCCCAAATCTCTAGAAGACCTAATGCAGCCCCCCCCCAGGAAGCCGACAGGGAAAACCGTGGCTCGCTTAGCCGTCGGCTAAAACAGAGAGCGAGCAGGTGAAGGGTTAAACTCCAGCGTAAGTCTTCATTTGCAGCCACTAATGCCGCAGCATATTATGGCCTAATCTAAGCTGATCCCAGTTTAATGCAAGCCTCTCCTGGCCCTGCACGGAATACCAAAGGCAGCCTCGGCGGCTGTGATTTAAGCGGAGCGCGCAGTGCTTTAGCTGAGGGACACGAAAGGCAAATTCCAGACGGTGTTATGAATTATTGCGCCTGATGAACCTTCCTACTCTCAACAGATGCCTGCTGCCATTTAAACAGCCACTAGATCAATTAGGAATGAAAGGCACAAATCGACTCTGTACAAGGGCACTGAATCACCAGGAACTAATAATCCGCAGCGCCGTGCCAGGTGGTGGGTGCACCCCGACGGTCAGTGCGCACCTGTCGGCGAGGCCAGAGGGAGTGTTGTGTACATGTGCTCTTGTGTGTTTGCATTGTGTGCACACAGAGTGGGATGTATACAGTACGTATGCATGTGGGTTGTGTGTTTCAAGTTGGAGTGCAGATTTTGTGTTCAGTGTTTAGAGTGTGCATGTGCCCTACATTGTGGGCAGTGTGTGTGTGTGTGTGTGTGTGTGTGTGTGTGTGCCGTGTGTTGTGTGTGTGATCTGGGCGGGGATTCAGTATTCTGTGTACACAGCATGAATAGCGTGTGGGCTAGATACTTGCACTAGAGTTGGGATGGGGATGGGAGGGTGGTCCCCTCTGCCACTGTCCTTGCCCCGAATGGAGGAGAGTGATCAGGGAGGGCCCCCTGAGGAGGCGACATTTAAACGAAGCCTGAACGATGAGGAGGCAGTCATGCAAAAATTAGAGGGAGAGGCTTTCGGCAGAAAAAGCAAAGCACCTGAGACAGGAATGAGCCTGGTGTGTTTCTGGAACAACATCCAGACGATGCTGCTGGAGCAGGATAGTCAGGAGGGGATTGAGGGAGGTGATGTTGGAGAGGTGAACAGGACTCAGATCACAGTCTCAGACAGAGCTGGGCCTTGGGCGGGGTGCAGGTAGGGGGGCGGCTAGAGGCGTTGTCATGTACACTGGGCCACCGCACAGGTCCTTTTCATAAACCTCTCACTTCCAGGCATCAGATCTCCCCAGAATGTGTGTGGGGGGCATATCTGGGGGCGTTTTCTGGGAGCTCCTGCTATGTCTCAGAAGAAGGAAACATACTTCCCATCCCCTCCCCCCGCAAATTAACGAGGGCCACAGAGCACAGAGCAGGCTCCCGGAGGCTGGCATGGCTGCTTCTCTCCAGTCTCTCCTGACCTGAGCCAAACTCTCAGCTCCAAACCCTCCCTTCTCACACCCCACCCTCTCCAGGCTCCTGGCTGGGTTCCACCTACCCCTCCCCCAGGTCCCTGAGCCCAGGAGATCAGATGGCATCTGAGATCAGCCACAGGTTTCACATGGACTACACCAGGGTAGGGGCTGCCTGGGTGATGAGGTGGCTCCCCTGCTCTATCCACCTGGATCCCTCCGTAAATCCAGACTGTTCCCTGCTACCTCAAGCGTAGGGACAGCTGGGACACTGCATCACCCCTGAGAACCAGGCTCAGCTTCCCAGTGACTCAGCAGGGTCTGTGGCTGCAGTCACTGGGCTTCTCCAAGGCTGTTCCCAGCCCAGGGCCCAGCCCCTCCCCAGCTGCCCAGCCTACAGCTGTCCAACTAAGGCTGGACCTGTATTTCTAAGCTACCCCCCAACATCACTGCCTATGGCTGGAGATGAGGCTGGCAGCCCTAATGCAGGCTTGGGGAGGGACAGGATGGGGTGACTAGGGCAGGAACCCCAAGAGCTGGGTGTCTTGGTCGGCAGGGACATGAATGTCCCTGTGTGTGCAGGCATGGGAGGGGAAGAAGGGTTTCCAGGGAGACACGGGATATGGCCCCTGAGCTTCAGTGCGTCCTGGTGTTGCTGTCCAGATCTCCCTCATCAGAGAGACAGAAGTAGGAACCTGGAAACTCGGTCCCAGGCCCGGAAGATGAGGAACAAGATGTGAGAGATGGCCGCTGGATTTTATTTCCAGAGGACACCTGACCTCCAGAGGAGCTCGCCTGCTCTCGCTGCTCTCTCCCCTCTTCTCCCTGTCGCCTCCGCCTGACCGCCCCCCCCCCACCCCAATCTCTCTTAAGCCGTTCAAAATTTGGAGGAAATAAATCTCACCGCTCAATTCAGGGAGGGCTTGAGCCTCGTCAGTGCAGAACAAATAGAAGGAGGGAACCTGCATGACATTTCACTGAGGAAGAGAGGTCGTTTCCAGCCACTAATAAAAAGGATTTGACACAGACTAATAAAGAGAAATGAATTTCTCTAATGGCCTAATTTAGCACACTCAGCACTGTGCCCGCTCCTGGGCGCCGGGAGGGGGGGGCAGAGCCCCAAGCAGGGAGCCGCATGGCTCCAGGGCGGGCAGGAAGAGATGATCTCAAATAACATTTTATTATTTCTTTTTTCTTTTTCAGGTCCCCACCCCCACCCCACCCTCATCACCTCTCCCAGGAGCATCTGAACCAAAATCAAGCTCAAGATACGCACTTCCTGTTAACAATCCAGGGAAGCGGCCTCTCGCAGCCTCGCAGCCCTGCACTGGCTGCAGCAGTGATTAAACCCGATACGTTGATTTCTACAGGGGTTTAAGCCATCGTTTGGTTTAATTACCTCTGACATTTCTGCCTTTGTGTTTTTTACATCACCCCAATTCACCGGCCTGCAATGCCCAGGTTAGGGCCAGGAGG